GCAGCTGGTGGTAGGGTTAGGACTCCAGGCCTCTTCCTCCAGGGACAGCAGGCAGGGGGCCGAGGAGGACAGGGATCGGGATCCTGGCTGACAGCTGGGACTGCTGGAGTTAGCCCTGGACATCACGAGTGGGATATCCGGAAACTTTTGTTTTGCAGTACAGTCAGGAGTGCTGTGAAATTTGAATGAAATGGCTTGTACATCCCTGTTCCAGGTATAGTGGAGTTCAATATTCCTCAGCCACTTCCTCTCTTGTCATTTGCAGTTCCTGCCATTGGACCAGTGTGGAAGGTCAGGGTGTAGGTGAGAGGTGACAGGTCAGAGGTCGATGGGTATAGAGGGCATGTATGAGAAGCTGGCCATGATCAATCTGCAGAGCGGGTCTAACTGGAGTGGACCCACCAGCTGGTACCACCAGGACAGCACTGTGCCAACACAGCACACTAATGGTAAGAGTGGCTTTCTGATAGAAAACACAGGGACCAGAGCAGTGCACTGTGACATCAGAGTCTGAAGGAGTGAGATATGACATCATAGGCTGGGAGGTGAACTATGACATCATAGACTGGGAGGGATGAACTATGGCATCAGAGGTTAGGAATGGGTGAAATAGGACATCATAGGCTGGGGAAGTGAACTATGACATCAGAGGCTTTTAAGGAGTGAGATATAACATCAGTGACTACAGCTACAGTCTTGTCTGGAGAACAGAGCAGGAGGAGGTTCACTAACTCTTGCAGAGTGATGCAGACTGAGTCAGTAGTCAGTAGTAGTGCAGGGGATCGAACTGAGACCCACATGGCCGGAGCACTTGTGCTTTGAGCACTGCATCATCGTACAGATCCTGCAGAACATGGTAGTATTTCTAGCTCTTGCACACTTCTCACAGAAATGCTTCCCTGTAAGTGTCTTCTTTCTCCTGACCTCAGCTCTGACCCCGACTCTGACCCCGACCCCGACACCGCGGGGCGCCTGGGACAGCGGTGCTCTCTCCCGCCTGCCGGCTGATAGGGTCACAGGGTCACAGGGCCACGAAGACGCAGGGCAAGATTGCAGAGCTGCTCTAAAGATGAGAGACATTATCGGCCCCATGGAGGGTCACGATGCTCAAGTGTCATAGCTGAGCTGGCAGTTCCAATTCAAATTCTATAAAAAAGGGTTTTACGTTTGTTTAAAGACCTAAACCAGGCCACTACAGTCTATACTTCCAGAGATATTCCAACATGTTTGAGGGGCATAATTCCAGTCAGAAAGGATTAGCTCCAGCCCCTCCTGCGTGACTCCAGCGGCAGTTTAGATTGGCTGAAGCTGATGAGCAGCGTGAGGGTCTGACGGCGGTGTGTGTCCCGTTGGCAGAGGGCTGTAATCTGGAGGGAGAGGCTCTGGGAGGTGGCCCTGGGTCCGAGGACCCCGAGGAGTCCCAGCTGCGCCTGCAGCTGAAACGCAAACTGCAGAGGAACCGGACCAGTTTCACCCAGGAGCAGATAGAGGCTCTGGAGAAGGGTAGGACTCCGAGAGTGTGTGTTTGTCACTGTGAGTGTGTGAGACTGCGAGTGTGTGTCACTGTGAGTGTGTGACACTGCGAGTGTGTGAAGGGTAGGACTCCGAGAGTGTGTGTATGTGTCACTGTGAGTGTGTGACACTGTGAGTGTGTGTCACTGTGAATGAGTGTCACTGTGAGTGTGTGACTATGAGCGTGTGACACTGCGAGTGTGTGAAGGGTAGGACTCCGAGAGCCAGTGAGTGACAGTCAAGTGCCTGTGTATTATTGAGTACATTTGCATGTGTAAGTGACAGTGTGTTTGTACCAGGAGCTGTGCAGTGAGGTTCTCAATGTACAAAACCTGGATCACGTTTACACTGCAGGAGCATTGAAGCAGGTTTCCTCATCACACAGTAATAACATAGTGTCCAGGCATTAACACAATCAGCATCTGCTCTGTTCTAATGTCTTTAGATTCTTATATCAAAGGGACAAACTGAAAGTTAGTAAAAGTTTTCATAAGTATATTAATGTGAGATCTGGACACATTTAATTGCTGCCTTGCTATGCCCAGTCTCCAGTCCTGTATTTCCAGTCAGTTCCAGACTCAAAGTAACCCCTCAGAATCAATAGATCGATAAAGTAATCACCCCCCAAGCACATTCACACCCCTGACCCCCTCCCCAGTCCTGAAGGAGCACCGGTCTGTGTCTCTCTCAGAGTTCGAGAGGACGCACTATCCCGACGTCTTCGCAAGAGAGAGGCTGGCAGCCAAGATAGACCTTCCCGAAGCTCGAATTCAGGTACCATGTCTGTCCCAGCGTGTCTCTGAACCAGCGTGTCTCTGTCTGTCCCAGTGTGTCAGCGTGTCTCTGTCTTTCCCGGTGTGTCTCTGTCTGTCCAGTGTGTCAGTGTGTCTCTGTTCCAGTGTGTCTCTATCTGTCCAGTGTGACAGTTTGTTTATGTCTGTCCCAGTGTGTCTTTGTCGCAGTGTGTCTCTGTCCCAGTGTCAACCTGTCAGGTCGGTATTTGTGTGTATGTGTGTGTCAGTGTCTCTCAGTGTGTGTTGCTGTGTTGTGGTCTGTCTGTATACCCCAATAGGACTCACTGATGCTCCAAGCTGCTGAGTGTTACTCATAGAGGCTGCTGGACCTTCCTCTCTGTTGCTCACTGTCTGTCTCTCCCACTGGGGCCTGTCGACCTCACCTGTCAATCACACCACCCATAGCCTCAGGCTGACATCTGATTGGCTCGCAGGGACACTGCCTGCTTTGTGATTGGTCAAAAGCTTGACCTGATTCTTTGGTGAACAGCGTCTGGAGAGAAAGGAATTCAAACTATGAGAGAATCAGAGTAAGAAAGATGGAGACCGAATCTGATAGAGCAAAACAGACAGAGAGAGGACATGGAGGCAGGAGACACAGACGCAAAGAGTTTAACACAGGGAGAGTGAGCACTCTCTCCTTCTTTGTACCCATATACAGAAATCAAAATCATGCAAAATGATGTTCCCATTGGCAGTAGAGTGAGAATTAAATAAGGAGACGAACATTCGGCTGCAGACAATTTCACCCTCACAGAGGCTCAGTAGTGCAGGACAGACAGATTGGACCAGTGTTGCTGTTTTATTCTTCTTTTCAACTGTCAGCACTATACAAGATTTTCTTCAGTGGAACACTAAGCAAATTGATGATAGAGACTGGAAGACAGGCGATTATTGTGAGCTCATTTCTGATAGGACAGTCTGTATCACTGTGTTGACCCTGCACTTCTGTGTCTGTGATTGACAGGTTTGGTTCTCCAATCGCAGAGCAAAGTGGAGGAGGGAGGAAAAGCTGCGTAACCAAAGGCGGACGGTGGGTGGGGCTTCATCTGGACACGCCCCCCTAAGCACCTCCTTCAACTCCAGTGTCTATCACCATGGCAATGGCTCAGGTCTGTCCATTCCTGTTTGGAGTCCAGTGCTGTGGGTCACATGTCTGATGTTATTGTTAAAACACTCATCTACACTGTGCACTGTTGGCACAAGAAAATAACTGCAATTTTCATACTTGTAAAATCAAGATCTGTGATTGTTTCTGATTCAGAGAAAATGTACTAATATATGAATTTATGTTTACTCATTTACTAAACAGAGCCTGTATTAGCCCCCCCTCAGTGCAGTGTCAGTGTACTATATTGTCCAGTCAGTGTGTCTGTATGAACCCCTCTCTCTCTCAGTGCAGTGTTCATGTACTGGAGTGTCCAGTCAGTGTGTCTGTATGAACCCCTCTCTCTCT